CTCTGTTATGATGAGTGGCTCTGTTATGATGAGTGGCTCTGTTATGATGAGTGGCTCTGTTATGATGAGTGGCTCTGTTATGATGAGTGGCTCTGTTATGATGAGTGGCTCTGTTATGATGAGTGGCTCTGTTATGATGAGTGGCTCTGTTATAGTGAGTGGCTCTGTTAATATTGGCTCTCTTATAATGAGTGACTCTGTTATGAGTGGCTCTGTTATAATGGGTGGCTCTGTTATAATGATTGGCTCTGTTATGATGAGTGGCTCTGTTATAATGAGTGGCTCTGTTAAAATGAGTGGCTCTGTTATGATGAGTGGCTCTGTTATAGTGAGTGGCTCTGTTATTATTGTCTCTCTTATAATGAGTGACTCTGTTATGAGTGGCTCTGTTATAATGGGTGGCTCTGTCATAATGAGTGAAACTGTTATGATGAGTGGCTCTGTTATAATGAGTGGCTCTGGTATAATGACTGGCTCTGTTATGACTGGCTCTGTTATAATGACTGGCTCTTTTAAAAGTGACTCTATTATAATAAATGTCTCTGCTATAATGAGTGGCTCTTTTCTAATGCGTTGCTCTGTTAAAATGAGTGGCTCTGTCAAAATGAAAAGCTCTGTTATAATGAGTTGCTCTTTTATAATGAGATGCTCTGTTATAATGAGATGCTCTGTTATAATGAGATGCTCTATTATAATGAGTTATTCTTTATCAGTTTTCTCGGATTTCCCGATAGATTTCAAAAGGTCTAACCTGTTGAATCAATAATTTACTTAGTTTTGATTCGTTTCGAAGTCGACCCGGTTTTTTAAAAGGAGTCTTTGTTGAGTCAACGCATTGGGATTTCCCGGTTTTTTTTTAAATTTGCGTCTGTGCTCGCCATTTAAATAGATATCTGCGAGACTTTTGCCAGCATTATGCTATTCCCTCAGATACTTCATGTGATGGCCGACCCGTGCTAGCATGAATCGACGTACACGCAGAGCGATTACTTTAGGAACAGTTTCAGCACTAGTCACGTTAGGGGGTAGGTCAGTGTTGCTAAAAAAATTCCATCGCATCTCCAATCGGAAATAGTATCCAGCGGCCCCTCACCATGTATAAGTTTTCTCATTGGTGCGAAATTGGTTTTTGTGCTCAGAAAGTGGCTACAGCAGATGCAGTGGCGGCGAAAGAAGTGGGTCTGCGTGGGGGTGGTTAGCCGCCGCCGCCGGGCACATTTTTTCTTTATATTAAGTGACGACTATTCTTCTTCTACGTCTTAAGGGCCCCACGATCAATGTATTGATCATTCTGGCTCCTATTTATGTAGATATTTGATGTTTCTGTGCATGCCTGGTATTCATTTAAGAGGATACTTCACTGGTTGCAAGGGCCACTCATCAGCGAGGGTATCAGGAACTTGGAAGGCCTGTGGCATTAGACGCAAATGGTTACCGGAAATTTGATCGAAAGAAATTTCGTCGACGATAAATTGATCGACGGAAATTTGATCGAACGGAAGTTTGGTCTAATCTTTTTTTTCCCCCTAGTTCTCACGTTAAAATTTTCATCAAAATTCTTTTTGAATGCACTTTACTATATAGTAAAACAAAATAATTCGTTCAAAAAGAAACTTGAAGCATAATTTTAACGTAAAAATTGAGAACAAAAAATTCGACGCAATTTCCGTTCGATCAAATTACCGTCGATCAATTTACCGTCGACGACATTTCTTTCGATCAAATTTCCGGATATGCACGCAAATGTGTCTGGTGTTGTCGCCTCAACTTTTCCTTTAGGAAGCTTGTTCCGGTCTCGGATTGTCTCTGGCAGGAATGACCAGTTCCAGCACTGTCTTTCGGTAAAACTCTTGTCACTGTTCGCACCACGCCCGCTAGGTGTCACACTGGATTCAATGTGGAAATACTATTATTCTTATGAAAACGCGTAATATTTCACGGCGACCTTTTGACGGACGCCTCAGGACAGGGCGATGCCAAGAAAAACCGTCACGTGGGGGGGGGGGGCGGAAAATGGAGCCACTCAAAAAAATAGAAATGAGATTTAACCGGCGTGGACAAGAAAAAGTCGTGTTTGTCGCCATTTTNCCTGGAGCGAAAGTTTCTTGGACATATTTATGGGGGTGGGGGGTGGAGGAGGGAGTACGCCCGCAACAGTGGTGAGAGGCGTGGGGGTCGAAAATTTGAGTTTTTAATTTTTTGCGTACGTACTAAATGGATGGCCTGCTACCTCTAACTGGTGACCCAGACGGACTAGCTCTCATCTATAGCTTTGGATGTCGTATGAAAACTGAAATACGGGAACCCCCCTATGTCACTACTTCGTTATCATGGTGAAGCTTGTTGCTGATGTGATTCTCATGCTATCTTGTTGCCCCCCCCCCACCACCCCCCACCTCTTTTTTTTTCAGGTTTGATTCTCATTATAGCCTTGCACACCCTGTTCACTGAAGTTAAGTCGACTGAAAGCAACAATGGAACAATCGAAGACGAAAGTGAAAGGAGAAAGCACCGCAATATTTCGGGAAGTCCCGTGAATGATGATTTTGAAAAAATATATCGAGCCTTGACGCGAAACATCTGGGAGTTCGGTTTGCTGGTATGTATAGCTGGCATACCTAAACACTCAAATTATTTGATGGTGTGCGTAGCTGGCGTACCTAAACACTCAAATTATTTGATGGTGTGCATAGCTGGCATACCTAAACACTCAAATTATTTGATGGTGTGCGTAGCTGGCGTACCTAAACACTCAAATTATTTGATGCTGTGCGTAGCTGG